TAATTAAATAAAGGTAAGTGTAAGATGAATAACTCGACAACAGCAATAGCTATCGACCTGTGATTTTCACCAATAGGAAGCGGAGAGATGGTCATATACTCTCTCTCTCCATAATGTATAATATGAATTTTTTTTTAAACTGATAATCTTTGAAAAAAATACAAGATAAAGTATGAAAGTGACTTGCCATCTAGATGAAATTTTGATTTTGATCTCTATTTAGATAGAGGAACTTTAGATCCATAGTTCACGATATAATGCAACCAGTTTTCTTCTTACATTTGAATGTTGAGTAAATGCAATCATATACTAAGATGCGCCAATAATAAGAAATTTCGATGACGTTTTACTAGGTTTTCGAACTTTTTATGATAACAACTTGCCATTACAACGAAAATGCAGCGAAATATAAGAAAGTATATTGTATCTTGAACTGTACATTTGAAGTCCCTCTATCTAAATCAGAGGTCAAAATCGAAATGCCGTCGAGATGGAAAAGCACTTTCTTGCCTATATTTTGAATATTTTTCGAAGATAATCAGTTTTAAAAGGATTTCGTCTTATATATTATCGAGAGAAAGTATATGCTCATATCTCTCGTTGCAATTGGTGAAAATCATAGATCGCTAGCTGTTGGGGTTGTCGAACCATTCGGTGGATGCTCACCCCTCTTTTATTCTGTTGCCGACAAAAGAATCGTATATGAGAATATCTCTTTATGGTGAGTAAAATGAACGAAGCTTGGCAATGAACATCACGAAAATATTTTAAAAAAATTTCTCTAAAGAGCAGAAATGCACCAATTTCAAATAGGATGAATGAATGCTGATTTAAAAAAGAATCACAACCATTCACACCCACATTCTCAAGAAAGCATAATAACTTCAACAAAGCTGGAGTGCTTTCACCATAGCAACGATACATATAGTTTGGTTTTATTCAATCATCCTGCGTAAATTAACTGAAAAAGTACAAGAGTCATGGCTATTTTTACAGGAATATTCTTTTTTTGTTTTCGTTGGTATCGTAAAAAAGACATTTTGGTCGATAATTTATTGAAAAATGATTAATCAAAATAGAAGTCTGATTCCCTTTTTTTTGTAAAACATAGTTGATATAAACTAGTGACATTTTGTTGTAGTCTCGTTTTCATAGTCAAGGATAGGAGTGTTTTATTGCATAATTTTCTTCATCCTTACAAGTAGAGACTCACAGAACGAAAGCATCAAATAAGTCCAAACATTGCTAACTAGCACTAATTGCGACCTATTGATGACAGATTTTCTTGTTTCGAGAGGTCGGAAGATCTTTTCCCTGAAGTTATTGTTTATTTTTCATTACACAAAGTCAACTATAGGTTTTGGCTTCGATTAATATTAAGTCGAATGAACTTTCTCAAGCGTCCACAATAGCCCTCAACTTTTCGGAAGGCTTTCATCAAATTATAGTATTTGTAGTGGAGAATTCTACTGTAATCAGTAATGGAAAAATATCGTTTGCTACGGGCAGTCATCAACTGATGGTCACAGTCACTGACGAGCAGCATAATCGAATAATAGATGCGTCTGTTAGGATTGAACTCGCCGATCACCCAGATGTATATGTGCAACAACTAACGAATCGCTCAGGTCAAGTTTTGTTTCGGCATTTGCCTTCGGAATCTCAACTTTTTATAGAAGCATCTAGAGTTGTTTCGAAGCGTTTCGTCGATGAAAATCTTATTTTAGCATCGAATAATTCCAACATCGTTCAGCGAATAACATTAATACTTCATAAAACAAATGAGCAAAATATGAAAATGTTCGACGACGAGTATCAAGACCCACTGGACCAAGGATATTACGTTGTTTAGTTGTTGTTGTTGTTTTCCGATCTAACTTAATTTTTTAACCAAAGAACGCATAAGAATATTCCGTTGAGTAGAAACAAATAATGATCTTTTTCATTTTTCATTATATTTTGCTATAACTGTTTTGTATATCATCGTTTATTCATATGGCTGCTTTCTTATCAACTACCATATATAGAAAAATAATATGGTCAACTGAAGGTGTTTGTTTATTTTTGTTCGGACAACGTATATAACGAACTTGCAATTCAACCGTTAACAGCTAGCGTAAACAAACACCGACCGTACGCGTTTCACGTGAAACGACGTAACACGCCGTAAACACCAGCAGTTTACGACACTTTGCGACCGCTTACCATGATCGGAAACAATGAAACATCACAGCGGCCATTCATGACCGCCGTATCAATATGCTGACGGTACACAGGTGCACAATAAATAACTACAATGTGCGAACACAGTATACATCACTAGATGCATCATGAAGCAATCCCAAACAATCGCATAGTAGATAATACATGTATCGACCTACGATTGGCCCCAACATGATTAATATATGTCCTCATAATAAGTGAGAAAAGTCCTCCAGAAATCCGATCGGTCCCTTTTATTGACCAATGGAAACCTAGGATTCGATATCTCCTTGAAGGACCCAGAGGGGATCGGAACATATACCCATCTATCGATAGAGCGTCCGCAACAACTATAGGATTGGCCAGAACATGACTAGTACATATCCTTATAAGAAGAGAGAAACGCCCTCGTTAAATTTGACTGGTCCTTTTTATTGTCCAATGAAGATGCAGGATTTGATTTCTGCATGAAGGAGCACAATGGGTGCGACACATCTGCTAATCAATCGATACAGGTTCGCCGAGAACCATAGGTTTGGCCCGAAGATGACCAGTGGATACGGCTATAGGTGTGTTGAGAAGTCGTGGGAAAAGAGACGGTTGCGTTTTTATTATATTGTGGTGTGGTGGACAGCTGTGCGTAGTATATCGTGATGTGAATGTGAAATGGTTCAGGGATATATATGGTGTAGATGCAGAAGTGTACAGACGTGTTTCGTGATAATCGGTCGTATACGGCCGTTTCTGGTTGCCGTAATGCTCAATCTTGGTAATATTGTACAACTTAATATAGATCATTGATTCAACGCCGTAATCTTTATACGAGGATATTCCCATTCGATGAACACATGGCTCCTATAAAGACATCCTTCTATAATGAACTGTTCAAACGCTAAGGTTAATTCTTGAGGAGAGCATTGTCTGTACTATCTGTCTTCCTAATTTCGTCTTTTGCTACTACTTGTAGCACTGTTCCACTTTTTTAAATTATTTTATCGTGACTCTCGAAGGAACTTCAACAAGTGACAAATCGCTTTTGAGATGAATCGTGCAATACTACATAGAATTCATTCAGACTAGAAAAGAGATTATAAAGGTTCATATTTTAGGTGTTTCTATTTCAGTTGTAAGTATTTTATTTAGCTTTACAACCAAATATTCTGAACTCCTCTGATAACAATCGAGATAATTTCTGAATGTCAAGCTCGAATGTAGAAGTAAGATTATTTCTTGACTGGTTGATTGTAAAAGCTAGTTTTTTACTATGCCTCATTTCCACTTAGACGAATGTTGAAACTTATATACCAATGAACGAGTTTTTTTAAATTGCTACCTAAGAAAAATAGTTTCTGAAAAGTCTAAAATTTGTAAAGTGGATCCTTTTGAAGCTTTTTGAAACTCCATAGAATAATGAACAAACATATGAAATCAAGAGCACAACTGTTGTTAGGTATCAATCAGTTGTGTGGACGGATTCGTCGTAAGCGTGTGTAATAGAGATAGAAAGATTATATCACTGATGTTGAGCAAAAAAGTTACGATCACCTTGATTAGCTCTAAAATCTATCAGACAGAGAATGGAACAGTATTGGATTGATACTCATTTCACTGATAAAATATTCATTCGGACGTACCACTAATTTTCAAGATTTCGAAACTATCGAAAATTTGATAAATTACAAGAAAAACAAGCTAGCAAATCAAATGTGTGTTGATCATATATTTCCGCGTATCGAAATCGGGTTGTAATGTGCCCTCAGGACTATTTTTGGTGTCTGGCCTATGTCTTGTTAGGTTTCGGAACTTAGATATTCACCATTATGATAACTGCTGACACCTTATCGTGAATCATGAAGGTCTTTTGAATTTTTTCGTGATTTTTCTTTACTGGTTTTATAAAGCTTTCCCAAACTTTGGAACAACAGTCGCTACTACCTGTCTGTAGTTTTTTTCCGTCGCAACCACGGAGCATATTAAAGTTATTCAGAACCAGAAGAGACAATCATGAAGTTGCATTCAATCTTGCATTCAAGCTACTATTGATTAAGAGACACGTAATGGCACCCAGAAAGCGTTCATAATTGTCTATATGATACTCAGATTTGCACTGCTTGTCTGTATCCGAGTAAAATCTCATGCATAATTTTATCGTATCAATAAAAACTGCGCTTTTATCAAAATATTTCGCCCAATAACGTAGAATATTGAATTATTGAAGTGCTGTTCGCTTACAAGTCTATTTAGATTATTAAAATCCATTGAACTACAGCTCATCGATGAAATGCAAATTGTACTACTTCGTATTCATAATCATTAGTATTGTAATGGTAACACCAATCTACTTTTTTTTCTTCTACGATTACAAGGCTACACAAGTTCGCGATAGAACAAAACCGATAAAAATGTTAGCACCCACTTCAGTCTTGAATAAACTGTCCTCGTCATTGGCAAACCGTAATGAAATACGGTGGAAGAGATTACATCGGCAATATAATGAAATGGTGAATTTGGTATCCTTTTATCAACCGAAGACTGAGAAAACTATGATATACTTCTGCAACTCAACGTGTCATGGGTGGGGAGATCGACTTAGGGGTATGATATCAGTATATATGCTAGCACTTCTGACTCAACGACGCTTCATGATTAGCATGGAGTTTCCTTGTTCGATTTCGAGGGTCTTGCAACCTAACTTCGTTAATTGGACATTTCTAAAACCAAACAATGGCTCTAATAAGAATCGCGCGCAGCTTAATATTAATACAATGCCTCTTTATCCACCAACGATTCGGAAGAACATGACGCAAACAATCGAATCAAAGAACTTCATAGCTCTCTGGGAACCCTATGATGATGTTTGGATATCGACAAACGGAGTGTACGTTTCAGCAGCATTGAGAAATCCATTTGTTAATTCATCACGTCTACTTGGTCGATTACCTTTGACAAAGGCCACGCAACAGCTACTTTTTCCATTCCTGTTTGAACTACTTTTTAAACCAACGCGCGTTGTATCTCAAGGTGTAGAAAAAATACTGCGCACCAAACACAAACAATTAACTTGCCTTCATATCCGAATAGGAAGAAATCCTTCCAACCCGCACGATCCAGTAAAACCAACACGAATCAATATGACACGGAAGATGCTCGATTTTCTCTATGATAATCCCTGCCTTGCATGGACTGAAGACACTCTAATTTTCGTCAGTTCCGATAGTGATCAGGCCGTTAAAGAAGTACTTCCATACTTTCCCAATTCATCTATTACTGTACCCGGTCCAATCATACATATTGATCATGTTAATAAAAAACAAGCACGTAAACACGACAGAGAGAAGAATTGTGCTGGTTTAATAAAAGTCCTCACTGATTTTTATGTTCTTGGCGAATGCCAAGCAACTCTACTTTCATACAGCGGCTTTTCAATCTGGGCTAATCAACGAAGGACGAATCCTAATGATAAACTTTTCATGTATGATGATCGATTAGGTAAAATAAAAAGAGCTAAAATGTGATGACAACGCTTTCTACGTTAAGTTTAATTTGGGTGGGTGTGGGTGTGCGTGTGGGGTATGATGTTGGTGTGGTGTGGATATGGTGTGGGTGTGTGGACGTGGATGAGTGTCTTCCCTCTAACTACACCAACCCTCACACCCACATCCACAGCCCACATCCACACCCACACCCACACCCACACCCACACCCACACCCACACCCACACCCACCCCCACACCCACACCCACACCCACACCCACACCCACACCCACACCCACACCCACACCCACAC